AATTAGCAGTGTTCTCAGTCTGTGTTTTGGCGGTTCATTACAAGTAAGGGTAATGTGGCTGTTGATAAGCCTGCAAGGAAAATGAGCGATAGCGAGTTCCAGAAATCAAGCAGCATCATACACATGTAACCAGATAGTCGTGACCTCGAACAAAAAGCAGAATTGCGACACGAGTTCCACCAAATAAGAGCACAGCAAAAGCTCACAAGTGACAATGTCAGATTAGTCTCATCATCATCAACAATGAACCAATGTCGACATCCTATCTAGCGCTCTGCGCCCAGACTACAAATGGCAGATCCTATCTAGCCTATCTACAATGCCGCTGGTGACGTCAACAGCTCCCCGAAGTAGGAGCAGATCCCGGCCAATGCCGTTCGCCTCAAGCACCAGGTATGTCTCTCGCATCACTCACAACCTCGATCCCCCACTCACAGATGCCACATGCACCCAAGGGCCACCATGCACCCCATCCAACATAGTGCAGCGCAGCTTGGCTATGGCTGCCTGCTCATCCAGCTCGTCCGTGAGCGCGTGGGCCCTGGCCAGCGTTTAGCGCAGCAGCGCTTGCGCAGCATGCAGCCAGTGCCCGAATGCCAAATGCGAGGGCAGGCACTTTCCTAAATGGAAGTGGCCTGCCTGCTGCGTGTGGCCTGGCTGCGCTGGGCCCCTGCCCAGAAGCTTCCGGTAGGCCCCGAGAGGCTGAGCCCCGGTCCAAACGAATCAGGCCCAGGGCCTGTAACGGTTGCTTGTGCCCAACTGTCTGCAGCCTGTGTTCGACCCTTGTTGTGTATCTGGCCCACGGCCTGCCTTAGTTACGTACAAAAAGGAAGCCAGGGCCTGGGCGCTCTCAACCAACTGGTGCTGCGCAACTGCCTGAATTTACCCAGTTGTGTGGTAGCCGAAAAATAGGCCTCTTGGCTTTGGTCGGGCCTGCCTTCACTTAGGGCGGCCGACTGTGCCCCTTACAGGGTAAAAAGGGGCCCATCGGCGCCTTATGCCTTGCATTCCCTCCTCCATACTTCGACAGTCCTCTGAGAAGTTCCATTACTCAATCTGGCGCTTTCCCTTCTGCAGTAACTTTTCGTAGCGAGCGACAGCCTGTGGAGCGGTCTGCATCAGTTCCTCCCGGGTAAACCATCTGTCCTCCTTAGGATCAATGTGATGTCTGAACCAAACGCGAAATTGCAGCTTTGGCTTAGGAGGACGTCCTCTGCCTGTTGGTCTTGGAACTGGCATTTCCCCATGGTTCACGATGTCGACGATGTCAGCCTCTCCATCCATGGTTGGGGGCAGCATTGAGAGTCGCGAGGGAAACTGATCAGTTTCCTCGGAAGGTGGAAGCTTAGAGGCGTGAAAGACAGGGTAAGTGCGAAGATGACCAGGGATCTGAACTACATATGACGGCCCATCCGGATCATCCCCGACGATATCTAGAACCTCCCAGGGTCCAAAGTACTGTGGCATGAGCTTGCGGGATATCCCCCGCTCTTGTCCCAGTTCTGAAAACTTGACCCAGACTTTGTCCCCTACCTGGAATGTGGATGGGCGGCGGTGCTTGTTCTCAGACTCTATCATCACCGCCTGCGCCTTGTGCATCTGTTCTACAGCTTGCGGCATCAGGCACTCGTATCAATATGCAAACTCTAAGGTGCCTGGTGCAGCAGAAGGCTGATTCTCAGGTAGTAGAAAATCTATGGGCAGTCTAGGTTTAAAAGTCAGTAGCAGACTGTTGGGGCTCACCCCCGTTGCACTGTGCACAGCGTTGTTATACAGACTGGCGATGAGATCAAGTTTCTCATCCCAGTCCACCTGACTGTGCTTGATGTAATGCCTGAGCAGGTCTTGAACAGCGCGGTTCAGCCGCTCTGCTTGCCCATTTGCCTCTGGGTGGTTGCCGGAGGTCATCTGCAGCTGTGTCCCTTGTTGTGCAGCTGCGACCTTCCACAATTCACTGGTGAATCGCACATCCCGGTCACTAATTATAGACTTTGGCAAACCGATGTCTCTGACCCAGTTTTCTTTGAATAGCTTAATCACGTACTCGGTCGTGGCTGTTGCAGGCATTGCGACTAACCTAGCATACTTGCTAAGCCTATCCACAATGACATAGACATATTGCATTCCACTCTTGCTGGTGACCAGTGTATCCATGAAATCCGTGGACAGGCTCTCACCGGGTTTTTCCGGTATCTGAAGGGGCTTGAGAAGCCCAAGAGGGGCTTGTGTACATGGCTTGTCTCTCTGACATACCTGACAAGTCTCCACGTACAGCTTGGCGTCTCTCATCATTGTGGGCCACCAGAACTGCTGCAGCAAGTTGGCTGTAGTCTTTTTATAACCAAAATGTCTTGTGGCATCATGACACTCACCTAAAAATAAAGTACGCAAAGACTCCCGGTTAGGCACACACAAGCGTTTATTCCCAGCTTTCTCAAGGAACAGCAGGCCGTTGACCAACTCAAACTCGGCAGAAGTCCTATAGCCTTATAAAGGGGTGCAGTACATCTGTACGGGTCCAGTAGCAGAGTGTGATACATGAGAAGTACCTGCTTTCATCAGGGAGCTTTGCCTTCATCTATCGCCGTATTGCATGTTTGTGTACGGGTGTGCTGATGTTTCATCTGGACTTTGTGTGGATCGATGTTAAGAACCTGGTCATTTTTGTGTATGATTGGCTGTGGCATCCTGTAGACACATTCTGTTGTAAAATCTCTGTGAGTCATGGTTTGCATGCAGGGGTTGGTGTCTGAATTGGGTTACACATTTGTTTTATTACTTGGTGCGCAACATTTTGTCCATTATCACCCCCAGCGCCGTTTTCATATTTCTGTAACTGTTGTGTGTCAATTCCTGGATTTGTCCGTAGGTAGAATAGTCTACAGTATTGGGCCTAACATTCCACAATTTTTGTAGGTGTACATATGTGTCTGGTGTCCAGGCTTCACTGGTTCTTGTTTGGATGGAAGGATTCAGAACTGTTTCTGTGTTCTACAGTGATAGGACTTACTTTTCTACATTTCATGCCTAGTACAATGCTTTGTATACAATAGCTATGCCTGTACACCTCACTCACAACCGATTGCCGATCAGTTCATGCTGTATTACACAGGAGGTTTACTGTATAGGGTGTAATAGTTGTGGGTATTCCTCTGTTTATGTGTTTGTCTTGCTCTGTGTGTGTGTGTGTGTGTGTGTGTGTGTGTGTGTGTGTGTGTGTGTGTGTGTGTGTGTGTGTGTGTGTGCGTGTGATGATGTGTGTGAACACATATTGCGAGGGCCTCAGCGCATAAAGATATGCTCTCCAATTCACCGTCACCTCACCAGGTAGATCATCCAACGATTCCCGCATCATTCCAGCAATCATCAAGCACATTCACACTTAAGCATGACCTCTGCTATATGGTGATGCCTACTGATTCGTACAAGCCTGACAATACTCGCACCAAAGCATATGTGACCATTGCTATCCTGCTGATTCATTCAGGACTGATAACATTCACACCAGAGCATATGTGTAACTAAATCCAACTGTTCACATCAAACATAATCCCATCAACGCATTCAGAGGATGACCCAGTACTCCTCATATGAGAGTCCTGCACAACTGAGAAGACACACCCAATTATCACATGAACTAGTAACAGCCGACGGTGTTCTTCTTTAATTCATGACATCCCGACCACTCCCGTGGTTCCTATATCCCTCCAAATGACAATCAAACCAGCTTCATAATTACCATCCGCATGGCGTTCCACAACATAAACCAGCTCCCTCCTGCTCGACCCCAAAACATACCACACTCTCCTCGACCAGGGTTACTCTCTGCGTTCATTACACATCTCGTCCTGCAGCATACCGTATCCCCTCAGAGATACCGCTGGGTCTACTTGGCTGCAACATCCTTCGTAACCAGGCAAACTATACAAGCACTAGTCCCTCACATAGAGCCAGATGGTCGGTCTCGCCCGTAACATTCCCCCCATCATGCCACCACTCCCTCCACTCTAAAATCTCAGCGAGATGATCTCATCCGAAAGCCAGACGTTCCAAAACCTTCAGCCGCAGAGCAGTAACCTTGAGGATTCAAGCCCTCGCCCTCGCAATTACCCTGCATACATCATCTGACTCGCCCATGCCCCCATATATCATCATATCATGCAATTCAAAAAAACAGAAATAGAAATCGAAATCGAAATCGTAAAAGAGATCCCAAAAACCTCAAAAAAAAAAAAAAAGGTTCGTAACAGCGTTGTCCCAACGCATCACAGCAGCACCCACACAAGACCATGGTAAGCCTCCATGTTAAACAAAATTATGAAAGGAAGCTCAACACATAACAGAGAACATAATTAGCATGATACAAATACTATAGTATATATTGGTTCTCATACATAGGCAACACTCACTACTTTACCACAACAAGGGTAGGTGAGAGGTCATTCGTTACACCCAGCTGGGGTACTGGCAAATTCCCTCAAACATGCTTTTCGCTAGCCCTGCCAAAGGTATAAGAAAGCACAGAGGTATAACGCTGATAGCATATGCACGAGAACCATGGTATGAAGAGCTTGATTAGATGCTGCGTAACTAAGGTTTGTCTTAGGTAGAAGGGATTGAAAAAAACGCATAATAGTGACGATAGCCTTCACCTCTGGCCGTGGATCCCCATGTTCGCTTCCTATTCCTTGGTCTGCCAAGTGAAGGTCAACTATCTCCTCAAAGCTGAATGCAGCATCCATTCTCGTGCTTCACTCTTGCCGTGGAGCAGCGAGGGCGTAGGCCGTGGTGGAAGATCAACCACCAAGAAGCCAACCGAGACGGTCGAGGATGATGCGGTGGCAATAGCAACAGTGATATCCAGTGGTGATCAGAGTGGCGATACTGCACAGGTGGCATAATAGTTGCTGTGAGTGTGGCAGCCGCAAAAGCTGGCGTAGTACTGGCCCGTCGTCGGCAGAATCATGGCAACGGAGTCATGCGAGACCTTAGCGCTCGGGTTACTGTGCCGAACATCAAGGTACGCATGCTCTGTTGGTTGAGGAGGAGTGACTTAGCGGTAACTCGTAAGTAGTAGGTGGTTAGTGCACACCCACCCGATTCCCCTTCTAGAAACATCACACAATCCCTATTTTGTTCTATGAATCTTTTTCGATTTTGCAGCGAAGCTAGTACCAGGTCCAAAATTTTCATCCACCGGGTCAGTCCCCGCTATCTTTATACATCCTACAATTTGACTAGACCCCCTTCCCACCCCCCGCACACTTTCCTTTTTTCTCATCACAGGGCCCATTTATTCGTGACTCTCGCAGCAAAACTCGTGCCTCAGGGGCTCTCGTCCCCAATGCCCCTCGTGGTACCGCTACTATTTCAGCCCCGGGGGGCATTCCCTTCTGGGCAAGTCATACACTGGTCCTCACTTAGTGTAGGCTGTATCTTTCCTAATCAGTACCTATCTTCATCTGCTAGAAGTTCATGGGATAACAAAGGGTACCTCAACCCTGTATGTGTGTGTGTGTGTGTGTGTGTGTGTGTGTGTGTGTGTGGTTTGAATTTTCGCCACAACAGCCTTTATTCCACCCAGATGAGTAGATCCCAAATCGAAGCAGCTTTAGTGCTATTGCAGACAACGAAAACACTTGAGCTGAGACAAACTAAACAATGAAACAGTTATCTTTATAGCATGTACCAAGCAACACGGAGCAAAATAGAAGCGTTTAAAATTTAAATCCCTTTCTTAACTGTGTTCACTTTGGCTTTTTTGGGTACCCGTTTCGTTTGTCCTTGCAACTCCCCTTTTTACGGTGCCTCTCACGTACAAGGCTCGCCACATTGATTGTGGTTGAGCGCGAGCTGCCCACATCCCTGTGTGCCATAACGGCCCACTGGCACATTATGAAAGGGGGGCAGAGTAAAGGCAGAGGTATATTCCTGTTCATTTTTCTTCAGATCTTCAACTTATATTTTGTCTGTTCTCTTAATCATGCTCATCCGTATGCATTTACTAGTAGTACAGAAGAGGAGGAAGGAAGGACATAAGATGTGGAGTTCTGACAGGGTTCTAAATACTCACCACTGGAGAAGACTACTCCAGAATGGCACATGAGGCCAGTCAGTGTTTAGGTTGCATAAGATTTTGAGTTGAGGAGCAGCAGCCGTTGCCTATGGTAAGTGGCCAACCCTACAGACCTGACAGGACCGGTTTGGGTGTGGACTGTGGAAGCACCGCATCCAGTTCTCGCAGTCGCAGTTGGTGCAGCAAATGGCACGGCTTCGACAGATGTCACAAGCCATGGGACTCCTACATGCTAGGAACACGGAGGCACGCCGACCGCAATTGTAGAGGCATTGTCATTCCAGCCCCTGTCTACAGATTGGACACAACATGTCAGGGTGTCGTACATGAGTGCAGTATCGACTGTGATCATACGTATGAATACTATGAAAACAATAACTTGCATGGGCTGTGTGTGTGGGGAGGGGGGGGGGAAGGGTTTGTCTGTGTATATGTGTGTCAGCTTCGTTTTCCTTCATGCTCTTTGACGATGTTATGGGAGTCAGTACCACAATGTGCTGCAATCAGTGCGATGTGCATTTGTACTTCAGGCTGTCCGACCCAGCACCATTTGAAACCAGCTATCCATGTCCCCAGGAAAATTAAATCCACCTATCCCCCTGGCCCGAGCGATCCCGAAGTGCAGCCCACTTTATCTGCCAATCATTCATGCACATGCTCTGCGTCACATGGATGGCTGTGGCAAGTTCCTGTGGATGGGATTTTATTTTATTTTTTATTTTTTTTACCATTTCTCGATTAATGTGTGTCATCCCTGCACAGGGGCCATGCTAATCTTCTCTGTATCGTTCCAATTTTAACAGGACGTGTGGACGGGATTTTTAGCCCATGCTAGAAGAAGATCAGTTTAGTGGTCCTCGCATGAAGTGGACAGCTGGGGAAGAGCTGGTTGTTTTACTCGGCTGTTTGTTGGCCATGAGATTAGTGAGGAGCTCACTTTCTCCCAGTGTAAAACAGCATAATCGCCTGCCTCCCTCCCCGGATCCCTGACTTGTTTCTCAGTGTCTCATATATTAGCAGTGGCAAATTCTCAGTGATGGTCGCAAACCCAACCCCTGTGGTCTGGTCATGCTTCATGCATATGAACCGACTCAGCCCGACTGTGTACACTGTCTTACGTACTGGTTGATGGTTCTCCGGTTTTGTCTTATTATTATTATTTTGAGCTTGCTCCATTGTTGATTCCCAGATTGGCGCTTTGCCCTTGTCTGTCAGTCCTAATGCTAACAACGAAGGCTCTCCCCTCCGGGGATTGTGCTCTTAAACTTTCCTCCCCTCTTTGGCATATTCTCGACCATCCTCCATGACACCATTCCAGGCACACGTGAGAGGTTACTTTGTGCGGAAGTATTCCCCTAGGGCAGTGTGGTTTATGTGCCAGGTGATTCGTGCACGAGCAAGGGCAATTGAGCTTGAAAGACGCATGGCTGTGGTTGCCTCTGGCGGAGATCTAACTGTGTCGGAGCAGGTACATCAGTATGAGTCAACAATGGAAAGGGAACAGAGCAAGATTCGCAAAGCAACTTTGGCACGTGCCCGCATGAGGCGTGCTATGAGCTGCAGGGAGAGGAATTTGAGTGGCAGTGAGGCTGGGAGCTTGTGGAGTGACCACCACCTGTCTGCTGCTGGAGAAGGGCTCACTGCCACTGCTCCTGGGCTTGCGGGTCCGGATTCCCGCAGGACGAGTTGTGGCAGCAGTGCCTGGGGGATTCCCGAGGGTTTCAAAGACATTGGTAGATCACAGAGCCAGGTGAAGGGAGGGATTGGGGGGGGAAGAGGATTGAGATTCGCTGGGGAGGCCGCAAGTGGTGGGTGGAGCTCTAGTTCTGGCAGGGAGCTGATACGATCATCTCTAACAGGAAGCATAGGGAGAAAGTTAAGCCCTGTTTTTAGGGGACGAGCACAAAATGAGAAATGTCTTGAAATGCTGCAGAGGAGCACCAGCTCGGGAGTTCGGGGTTCATGTTCAAGCATTGGAGGTGATTTGGAGAGTTCCTCTGCGAGTCCTGCCAGGCCATGGAGCATGAGCCCTGCCCACTTCTCCCTGCCAGGGGGTGCAGTTTTGACAAGGAAAGTGAGGGGAAAGGGACGGGGCAGGAAGAAGCGGAACCGATCAGGAGATAAGGGCAAGGACAAGGAGAACATGGAGCGAGCAGAAATAATTCTACAGGATATGGTGGTGGCCGTTGAGGAAATGGAAAGAGGGGGAAAGCAAGTAGCAGCAGTGAGGCGTACACTTGCAACTTCAACAGCATCTGATCGGAAAACTGAGACGAACAACTTGCTTCAACAACATCAACAACATAACGAAGGGCAGAGGACACTAAGTTGGAGGCAGGATGTGGAAAGGGACTCAGAAAAGAGATTGCAGTCGGAGGGAACTGCTGGAAAGGACCTTGAGGCGAGGAAGGCCGCAAAATTTCAGCAGGAGATGGAGTGTGTGCTGAAGCAACGCTTAGAAGCGAGGAACCAAGGAAACCCAAACCACAAGGGTTGCTCTTCACAGAGAGAGGAGGACACTTCTCTTATGAGGAACCAGAAGAAGGTATCTTATGGAACAGGGAATGGAGTAGCAGAAGAGCCATCACGATTCGTCCTTGCACAGCACAAAACGCAGCCCCAGTGGGCTGAAGAGAGGAAGCGGGAGGTGGAGAGGGTGCTGAAGAAGCGTTTGGAAGCCAGGAAGTTGGAAGAAACAGGAGAGCATGGGTCGAAAACTGGGGGGGAATATGGAGTGAAGCCTCTGCCGGGAAGATTTGCATGTGAAGTCAGCATTGAGAAACATGCTGATGAAACAGCGAAGTCAGGACACGTGGCCGCAAAATCCAGTTCTGTTCAGCAGAAACTGCATCTGCAGTGGGCTGATGAGAGGAAGCAGGAGGTAGAAAATGCGTCCAAACAACACAGTAAGGCCAAGGATGCGGAGAAAATAACAGGTAACACCCAGAGAGCCCATCCCGAGGGCAGAGCAAAGCCCGTAGCTGGAAAGACAGAGGACAAAAAAGTGGTAAGGGCATGTCTGGAAGCAGACAGGTGTGTTGCTGCAGCGGAAGGGAAACTCAACATCGAGAGGGATATGGATGAGAAATGCACAAAGGCAAAGATGGGATTCTCAAGCAAGAGAGTAAACGTGATTGATGGGCCACATCAGCCTGTGGAAGGGCAGGAGGATGAGAGAAAGAGGGAAACCGTTAGGGGAACTAGCGAGCTCTGGGATCGGCCTGCTGTTCATTTAAAAGAGCAAGTGTCTGAGAGGAGAAAAAAACATGAGAGTAGCGAAGACCAAGCAGCGAAATGCATGCAGTGGGATATTCATCAGACCATTGAGGTCAGAAGGCAGTTGCAAAGAGCAGAAGAAGAGCCGCAAAGGAGAGATGTTGAGGGGAGCCATGACCATCAAGGAGCAAAGTACATGCAGCTGTGTCTTCGTCAGGCCATCGAGTTCGAAAGGCGAATGCAGAAGGTCAAGAAAGAGAAGCAGGAGGCAGAGGAAAAGGAGGAAAAACAACGTGAGGCACAGAGGGCAGCAGAGCTGCGACATCTGGCTGAGAAGGCTGCCATGTTGTGTGCTGCAAAGACTCCGGAGAGGAGTGATGGACTCGTTTTGGGTAAGGGATGGAGCAAAACCTCACATCAAACTGAGTCATGGAGACAGGAGGTGGCAGCAGAGCAGTGGAAAGGTGGTGCCAATCTCATGGCTGCGGAGCGAGAAGCTGATGTGAGACGGGAGAGCATGCGAGCCGCCGAGCGTCAACGGGAAGCAGAGCGAGTTGCAGGTTTTCGAAGACAGGCACAGTGGTTTCAGGATAAAATGGACAACTGCAAAAGACTGGATCTGGAGAAACGAGACTTGGAAAAAGAAGCTATCGCTCAAGCACAAGCAGAGAGGGCAGCAGAGGTGCGCCGGCGTGCTGAGAGGGCTGAGGAACTCCGACGCCTAGCAGAGAAAGCAGAAGAGGAATGGCGAGAGGCAGAGAGGCTTGATGAGATCAGGAGAAAGGAAGAGATGAAGGGCCTGACTCGGGGGATGGAGACAGCTGACGAAAAGCAGGAACGTGGTGAAGAAAGGGCCAAGGACTTGCAGGAGATGGAGCAAGCTCGAAACAGTAGAAAAGAAGCTGCAAGAGTTGCAGAGTTGCATCGTCAGGCTCAGCAAATGGAAAAGAGAAGATGGGAAGCCAAGCGGATTGCCAATCTTCGTGGAGAAGCAGATTGGGCTGCTCAGGAACGCAGAGAGGCAGAACGAGCAGAGGAGTTACAGCGTCAGTCGTATCGGATGTTGGAGGTCCAGAATGAAGCCAAAAGAGCTGCTGAGCTGCAAAAGCAGCATGAACAAGTTATGGTCGATAGGAGGAAGTCAGGCAGAGCTGTCATGGAGCAGCACGAAATTCAGGCTCATTTGCGGCTGCGCAAGATAATCAAGGACAGTGTATGTCAGGGTGGGACAGACGCATTAGGCCAAGTGGGCCAAGGAGAGTCACTCCAAGCCAACGTGGTCAGACTCAAGGAGGAGCAGGATGAGGACGAGGGTGAGGAGCAACAGCAGCAGCAGGGCGAGGAGGAGGAGGAGGAGGAGGAGGAGGAGGAAGAGGAGGAGGAGGAGGAGGAGGAGGAGGAGAAGGATGAGGAGGAGGAGGAAGAGAATGTTGAGGTGGAAGTTGTTGGTGAAGGATGGGGCGCTTGCTTCCTCCGACGAAACAGATTTGGGTCTTGGTTGGACTCTGAGCTGGGGGAGAGATTGGCAGGGGTGGATTTTCATCACATTGACCTTGCTTCATTGTTGAAGGAGATGTTACACCTGGTGGAAGAGCTGACAGAAACACAGCGTGCATGGAGGAGAGGCATGTTGGAGGCACGCCATGAATGGTTGATGAAGTGGGGCACAAAGGAGGGGATTGAGGCGTGGTTGAGAGAATCTCAGACACTGAAGGGAGTTTTCATCAAGGGTTCACGTCTGGTGAGAGAGGATCGTGGGAGGTGATGAAAGACAACCAGAACCCAACGCATAGGGTGAGGAGGGTCAGAGATATGAAGGGGGAACGTTTTTTTAGCCAACCAGGTTTGAACCTCTTTCTTTGTCTCCCTTCAGCTCCCTATAGAAAGAAGTTTCTCTTTGTTTCTTCTGATTAGGTGCGTAAGCTTTCATGATCTCCGACGATTGCAATAGAGCCATACCCCCCAATCTGGGTAACAGTGGTGACGTCTAGCAAGAGATTAGTTAATACTAAACTCCACGATAGCTCTTTGGTTTTCTGCTGTTCATAAGAGAGAAGCACTGCCAGTGACTTTATGTTGTATATTGGTATTGGTCACCAGCAATTTAGAATTTTCAACTAATTGGTTTCCACCTTTCAGCTTCGCATTGCTGACGTAGACACAAGAAGTCGACCATTCGAATGTATCCAGACACACATTTTCCTCTGACTGACTGTGCTGACCCCTCGGATCATGTCACGGCTATGCTCTTAGACTCAGAAAGAAGGCAGTGAGAAAGGGCAGTGCTCCTAAGCAAGCGAGAGAAGAAGTACCTATAGTGAACATTTGTAATTTGCACCATTGACGACGTAATTATACCACCATGCCATGCTCTTCTTCTCACATTCCGCACAGATCGCCAACGATATTTCCACTTTCCAGGGAAATATTTTGATCCGTTCTCTCGAAGCACACAGGGGTGTCGCCATCGTCCACTGGCAGCTTAGCCATAAGCATGCCTGAAGTCGCTTCACTGGTTGATTCACGAGATGATTCACGAGATGATTCACAAGGTGATTCACTATTAAGATTTGGAATGTCAACTATCATGACATAGACATAACAAATTTACTTACAAGGCAATTAACTTGAATTAAGCTAATTAAACACTCGACAGTTAGGTGCACTTTTGTCTGCAGAAGGGCTAACCAATTTGATTAGCATCATAACTCTTTGGGACTCCATTTCATTTTGGGTCACAGCGCAGTATGTGGAGCTCTTGGTTGTCCATGTGCATGGGCAGGATTGCAAATCTTGCGCTGCAATATTAGACAACACTCAAGAGTCCAGTAGTTATTGTCATACTGCAGAAGGACTGTCAGAATGCTTAGAAAGAATTCTTTTGACATTCTTTGAAACCAAGAGATGGCAAGAAAGTACGGTGTCAGCTTCACATGATCAAGCTATGGATCTCTGGATACCATGGTTCTTTATGCACTGCACTAGTGATCCGAATTCAACGGTTCAGTCTTCTTTTTTTTTATGGGCCCACTCCCCTGCCCATTATGGGGAGCATTAGTTCGTATCAGGTATAGATATAGATGCCCTGGGGATATTGATACACGTATGGATGTACATACCGGTGCTCACATTTCCTTTTTATACGATGCCGTGAATATTTCCAGGTGGTCACCGATACCCCTTCGTTTTTAGCATAGTGTGTGCCGACAGAATGTGAACTTTGTGGACTCTTCATCTGGTGTGGGTAGGGGATCCCTTTTAATTTTGGGCCAAGGCAGATTATCATGGCATTCAACGTTCTTAGGTTAGGGCTCTAACAGCTGTTGATGGTTCAGCCTTTTGAGTTGGAATTTGTACCAACCACCTGTTTTTTGGACTGTTGTCCTTGTTGAAGGTTCGCCGATGGTTCTTTGTGACGGTATGTGTATCATGTGGCCATATATGAATATGTATGTAGGCGTATATATGTTGTCACCTATTGATGTACAACCATCTTGTGATACTCAACGGTAGGTCTGTGCTTTTCACAAGTCGTTATCCTAATCGTTGTTGTCATCAAAGACGCACGTCGGTCGCAGAGCCTCTTCAGGTAACGTAGGTGCTTTTGGGCTCAGGATAGAATGATAACGTCAGCTAGTTTGACTATTGTGGCAGATCGTGAGGCAAGCCAAAGTGACTAGTCGGTAGGACTGCGCATGCTATAGAGCAATAGAATTTACTGACACCACTAAGTTTCATTCAGGTTGTGGCCGTGGAAACTCGGGCATTGAACTGAACTTACTGTACTGTGGAAGAGAGCATAAGGAGTGGACGGAGGTTCTTTGGATTGCAATCTTTCCTGTCAAATATGGATTGGCTGCATTGCACCGTGAGAACTGGGGACTACTTTGTAGCATGGAAATGCCACTTAAATCTATGGCTTATTGCTTGCATAGACTCTATACCTCCACATAATAACAGTTGGTGTGGACACTGCCAGTCCCTTGTAGTGGTCAGTGGACTCAATCATAAGCAGAATCTTGAGTTAGTCAATGTGGTTGTACACTTCCAGAGAACCCAGAGAGTAAGGAGTAGCAGAGAAGTGAGAAAAGAGTTGTATAAATTAGAGTCTCATAATGTGGTTACTATTGAGAGCATCAGGAATCTAGATATTGTTCAGCAGCCCTATGGGAGGTAGGTTGATCCACCAATGGGCAGCAGCTTCGGATGATGGCAAAGTTAAAGGTTGCCACTGAGCCTACATTTGGTGCCGCATATATAAGCAATAGCTTATAAGATAGCAGTAGCTGATCACTGGGACAGCCTCATAAGTGTTCGTAGGGATTTTAAAACACGACGACTTTTTTGGGTGCTACGTACAGGTGTAAACGTTTAGTGCATGTTGTTCTTCCCCTGCTATTGCTTTGATTCTTCTATGGTGGTGGGAGATTGGGAAAAACACTCATGATCGAAGCACACATGCAGGTCTTTCCTTCTTTTCAATTGATTCATGACTTGTGGGTGAATTTTTTGAGCCAACTCCTTGAGTGTCGTCATGATTCATGATGCGATATCCTTGGATGTATCCTCACATGTCAGAGCATGTAGAGTGCACGTGTGCATGCACGCATGGTTTGGTGGCTGGGTGAGAAAGGAATGAAATTTAGAGCCCTTTCACTCAACGTGACTAATTGACCACAAAGTCCGCGCAAATAGGAGTGGCCTGCTTCCTTGGATGTCCAGTTCAAAGCTAAAAGTAACCAATTCTATTGAAGTCTTCCTTATTAGACGTTGTAGTGCTTAAATTTCTCATACTCTCTCTCCATGGAATATCATGGTCGCCATACAAAGCATGCTCCCTTTTCTAATAAAGAGAGTGATAG